CCCCCTTCCCTCTCTGTCTCTTTTTCTCTGTCTGGTATTTTAATGTGTGTTATTATGTATGAGTCAGCAGATCAATGGACTATTGAATAAGGGAATACAATTTGATATCTGGTAAGATATAATTTCATAGATTAAATAATAACAACTAACCCACAGAGAAGTAGAGAACGGCGTGGACAGCCCTCGGTCAAGTGACGGTCGACTGGGATACTTAAACCTTTAGCCCACCGAGGTCGCATAGCGCTTAACTTTTGAGGAAGTAGCGGACACATCGGTCAGCACCAGATCAAAGGACATTCTTTTCACACACTTCGAACCATCATACACAAATCAGAAACACGAGTTGGCATACTTTATACTAGGCATTTTGGTAAATTCCATTTTAAAAGTTTCAGAATAAGACAAACTAAATCGAACAATCTGTTTGAATAATGCAGTTAAGCCCTAGAACAGTACTTTCAAGTGTTCTCGAAATGCATGTACCAAAATAAACGCCCTCCCAGAGTTAAAGACTCGCTGTTTTCGGGATAATTTAGAAAAAAGAAGCATAGCTTTCTTATAATATTATTCATTTACATTTTTCAAATCTGTTTTCTTTATCTGAAACGTAAAAGCCAGGCAACAAGATGTTTACTATGACATATCATGTTGTTTCGTGTTGCTGTTTTGTGTTTATGCTGGTTCAAAATGGTCCGCACCATTGCTTTTGATTTGGTGCGGATCGGACATATTTATGTGTTCTTGAAGAGTTAACGCGATCTATTTTTATGAAGATTACATACCTTTTGCGGGGCATTTTGATATGTCAATGCGGTGCACTTGTTATACTGTTTTACGAATTGCCTGCTGGAAGCTCCCAGTAGTAATTGTCACCTCAACCGCGAGAGGTTGGAGTGAGCCACTACATGAAGCGTTCTGCTTCTTTTCTTTCTCTCTCACTAGTGTCATTTCTGTTTATATGAGAGCTATCGTAACGCAGGCATGGTGACCTGTCTGCCTAAAGGGGAAAAAATCTGAGCAGTGAAAGAGCTAGTTTATTCTTTCTTCTTTATTTTTGTTTGTTAGAGAAATGCTGCGCCTATCTCTGTTTACTACATTATAATATTTTTTTAAATTATAGCGAATCATCAATCTTTGCGTTACTTTCTACGTGTGGCACTGCAGGTTCACTCTTCATGGATGACCCCTTATCTTGCTTTTTTTATTATCCTGCTTTAAGAAAAACCTTTTTTTGCACCAATGTGCTTCTCTTTACCTTAACACACAAACAAACAATCAACCAAACAAGGAAACAAAATGTGTCGTGGTTGACGAGTGCTCTGGTGTCGTTTATTGGCTCATTCTTTCTTATCAAACATCTATCGTCCGTATCAGTTTTCCTTCCTCTTGTTTGTGCTTGTTACTCTCTCGTAACCCCTTTAACCTTTGGCACTTATTTAACCTAATTTTGTTGCAAATGCCGTAAAACTCTTTCAAAAGCTAAAAGCTAAACGGAATGTTTCCCGAATCTTCTGTATGTAGCATGTAAGTCGTTAAACGGGCGCGGAGCTGTTGCCGCCTCTAATGACGAGGGCCTTTTTGTGTTTGTCAGCCACTTATTGGTTTCAGGAATAGATTGATAGAACAGGTGTTGTTGACTAAATGAGATGACTATGTCTA